AATAAAAAAATAATTGAAAAAAAGCCGAATCGAATCGAATGATACTTCTAGAAAAGAGGTCGAATCGAATCGGTTCGTTTTTTTCAGTTTCATTCGGCTATTGAAAATCATTTTCTTTGTTCTGGTGTTATGGTCGAGGGCAGTGTTTCTAATGAATAAGTGTACCTAGCAAAAACAACGTGTACGGTACCCTAATAGAAAAAATTTTACATTCTGTTTTACACACTGAAAAAAAAGCAGCGTGTACGCTTTACACACTGATTTTTGATTTTACACTTTACTTTTCTAATACTTTCATGTTTTTTTTTACGTTATACGATTGGAGAAAATATTGTATGCAAACAAAAAGCGATCATTCATAAGCAATGTACATTGAATATCCAATAAGATAATTGATAGAGGCGCTAATTTACATTTACATTATATTTTTTGTCTGTATCTGTATATGTAACATATACAGTCAGTATATGTAGTTTATTGTTACCTTTGTTTAGTATTCAAAATCGAAACGATGCTATATTTTATTTGAATACACACTGCTTCAAAAAACATAGTGTAACAGTACACGTTGCTCTAAAAAACATAGTGTATGCATACGTTCTATTTCAGATTCTCATTAGAAACGTTGACTTGAACTATGGCGTCAAATGTAGAAATGAAAGTCATTAAATTTTTATTTGAAAATGAAGAATTTAGATATAAATTCCCATCAAATGATTCGACTACATCAATTATTGCTGCTCTGCGACGACGATTCAATATTAAAAATGATATTGACTATGATTTGGTGGATATCGAAGATAATACAACTATATCGTTATCGTGTTTGTTATATTTAAAAAATGATACAAGTATTTTGGTGAAATTAAATAACTCAAATCTAGAAACAAATATTTCTAAAAACGATTCGTAAGTAACCTATTTTCAATAGAAATGATATATCCTTACTTGTTTTAAAGAAACTCTTCATCTTCATCACAAATAGTTGGCACTCTTGATTCTGATTCTAAACGCAGTATGTTTTGGTGACCGCAAAATTCGTTGCACGACAATCAGTTCGTCGCATAGATAGTAGAGAGAACATTGATCGAATGAAGAAATTTAGTTAGGCCTGTTAATTCAATCACTGTTCTCTCTACTATCTATGGGACGAGTTGATCGCAACAAATTGTACTAGTACCTATGTTTTCCTTGCACGCTGTTTTTTTATATAGTGCTGTATTTCTTTTTAGTGCCTTTATCATTTAGTGATAATAATGTAAGATTATTAACTTCTGATTTATCATCCATCAGTGTTAGCAGTGACAGTGATTACAAGACAAATATACATTATAATTCTGCAGTTCCCATTAGTGGTGCAACAAAGCAGTGTAATGCTCGAACGGAAAAGAACAAGCGCGAATTCAAAATTCTATGCAATAAAAAAATAATTCGTTTTTTAGAAACACATGCTAATGTCACTCCAGGTAATTATGCATTAAAATAATATTTCCATTATGAAAAGTATTTTAGTTGATTGTCATCGTGTTGTAAGACAAATACTGAAAATCTTAAACATTCAATTATTGGAATTATATAATTTACTTAAATTCGTGCGAAATAAAATGAACGTACAATTGTTGAATTTGAATAAACAAAATGTTGTTGATGTTATTGTTAACGTCTATAAAAACAACTACGTCAATGATAATAGTAAAGTATAAAATCTTTGAGATTTTTTTTATTGCTAATATCTATATTTTTGAATCATAGGATGATAATGATATAGCTCATAATTCTCAAAGACGATTATCAATCAGCAGCTGAACGAAAAAAACGGGATGTCCCCGATTCGGTCCTAATTGGAAAAATGTTCTCTCAAATGGGTCCTATCTTAATCAGGCCCTATCTCAGTTGGGTCCTACCCCAGTTCGGTCCTATCTCAGTTCGGTCAATAATTATTTCTCATTTCTATTTTAATAATATTAATTAAAATAATTCTTGATTATATATCAAAGAGAAGAGAATAATTTATATCATAAAGAATAACAAGACAATTAAAAAATCTAGTAACATATAGAACTTATAGATATCAATATTAATTTTAAAAAATTGTTGTTTTACTACTTCTTGACTAATTTTGTTTTAACAACTTCAACCAATCATAATTTCAAAATGAAATTTTTAGATTTAAATAGGGTGGGTATGAACATTACGGTAGGCTTATTATATTTATATTTATAAATCACGAATACACTGACAGGGACCGAACTGAGATAAGACCGAACTGGGGTAGGACCCAACTGAGATAGGACCCAATTGAGAGAACATATTTCCAATTAGGACCGAATCGGGATACGACCAAAAAAAACAGATCTTTTCTCTTCAAATATATAAACATTTCGATGCATGAAAATTTAAATGTATAACTGTTTCATGTTTAAAAAATTTAATTTCCAACAGGATCACATAAATGAAAAAATGCATTGCCTTCGTAGTTTTTTTTTCTATTTATCAAGAAACTTCTCCGATATTCACTTTAGAAAAACGCGATAGAATCAATTAAAATGGTTTACTTATATATTTAATTGTGCAAGAAGCATTTTTCGTCTAATTTTTCGCACATGTATAATTTAAATTGTCAATTATGGTGCTTTTTTTCTAAATAACAGGATATTAATGAAAAATGAAACCATGGATGCTATTTGTATGAACAGCTTTTTTTTTCAAATAATTTCCTAGCTGGATGGTACACATTAGTATTGTTATCTTTAATAAAGCGTTTATATTTTATATCATTTAAAACTCAGGAAACCAAAATTTTATAGAAGTGAAAACATAGATAGCAGCAATGATGACATCAAACAAAGCAGGCGTTTTTTCCTTGTCCCTTCAATGACCATTTATTAGTCATTCATCTATATTAGTACTGACGAGAGATAGAGTAAGATAAGATTATTTGTTTTTCTCTCTACCAATATACATGCCTGCCATGGATCTTTTTCGTTGTTCTGACTCAATCATGCTTTGATAAGTAAAATCAAAATGTTACTTATTCCTACCAACAGAAAGAGAAGAAAAGCTGATTAGAAATTGAATAGAATTACATATGTGTATTCCAGTTTGTACTTAAACTAAAGATATGTATCAACAAAATATAAAGATTTCATCTATTGATTTTGCTCTACCACATTGAGTTAGTCGCCAACAAATGATAATCATTAAAAACGAAAATCTTTAATTAAAAGCATTAAGAGCACTTTTTTAAATGATGATGAATTCATATCTTGATTCATCGATATCACCTGAAACATCAAAGTCAACATTAGCTTTTACAAATCCGCGTTGTACTCGTTATAGAAAATATTATTGTCAAATTGATTTGATGCTTACATAGCTATCACGCCATGATAACTCTAATGATCAACAATATCTTGTTGATCAACGCATACAAGAAATTGATTCGAAGCAATTTCTTGAAAAATTATTTTTATTTTTATAATAAATAAAATATAGATATTTGCCGTCACCAAGTCTTGAGAATGTTTGTGAACAACGTTTACTTCATTGAGATAATACAATGAAAACAAAGTTAGGCAATGAATCAATTCATTCTTCTGCATCAAGTAATGCGCAGAAATGTTAATATTATTTTAAATATTTGATCTCTATTGATTTTCTTTCTTAGTCTGTTTCTGGATTATTTATTTCAAATTCACCTTTAATAACTCATAATAATTCAATCGATCATAAAAACGATTCATTATCTCAATCACGTGTTTGCCTCCTGATGAACCAATTTTATCATCAAGCATTTGGAATCGTTTATCATCCTCAGCACCAACACAAAAATTTCAAACACAAAATTGCACTGGTTTATATCAATTATGTCCTAATAGATATTATATTATAGCGGATGATCGGTTTCAAACCTATAAAGGTCATCGTTTGCTTCAACTTATAATTTGGGATATGATTTATAACCAATATGAAGAACAATGTATATTAATATTACCAGAGTTTAATACAACGATACAGATAGATGCTATTCAAAGTATGACATAGCATAAACAGTTACAAGTATTTATTTTTATTACGTAAGACTTTTGAAATGAATAATAAAATATATTTTTCTTGTTTCTTTATTTTTTAAAAGTTGTAGTCGTGCTTATCAATGTGAACCAGAAAGCGAAACAATAAATAAAATAAGTGAATATGAAATTCAATCGTTACAATATAGTTTAGCTCCTATTGCTTGTTATCACAAATTCTATGTTTTTCTTGCATATGAATATCCGCCTGCAACTGTTGATTTATTGTATATAGCAACTATAGCAACATGCCCACTTTTTAAATGATGGACACCAAGAGATTTACTTCCACCGCCAATATATAATGATGATGATGATCATGAACAAACTGATCTGGAAAATGTTGGTTTTTATTTGTTTATTTTTTTGCTGTTACAATAAAACCTCTCTATAATGAGCACCAATGGAACCCTTCAAAAAGTGTTCATTAAAGGAAATGTTCATTATATGGAGGTTTTGCATTAGCTGAACTCTTACATGTATACAGTATATGATTAGTATGACCGGTTGGTGACTGTGCATTTTTCGTGTTAGAATTCGCCCCCAGTTAGCTTAAAGTAAAGAAAAGCTGTTTCTTTTATCTATTAGACATATCTATTTCATGTTTATGAAAAAGAATCATCGATTCAGATCTTATACTTATGCCAGTAAGTATATGGTATGGTACAAAAACATCTCTTCAGTTTCGTCGTTATCTCACCATCGTAAACAAAAAAGTGCATTATTCTTTCACATACGACTGATCAACGTGTCGCGGACCATTCATTTTCATAGTCCCTTTTGTTCTATACTAGGGGTGCAATAGTTCAGCTCTAGTTCTGAGCGAGGGAACTGTTCGAAAGTTCATTTCTGTATGAACTGATTGTTTTGAACAGCTCCTTTCAAAAGAGCTGATCTGATCGAACAGCTCCCTCTCTCTCAAGAACTGATTTGGATAGTATTTTTGGCATAATGCCAATCAGTTCTTGAGAGAGAGAGAGAGAGAGAGAGAGAGAGAGAGAGAGAGAGCTGTTCGATCAGATCAGCTCTTTTGAAAGGAGCTGTTGAAAAAGTTCAGTTCAGGAACGAGAGCTGCTCGATCAGATCAGCTCTTTTTGAACGAGCTGTTCAAATCAATCAGCTCCTACCGAAAGAATGTTCGAACAGTTTTTTTCGCTCAGCTCAGCTGAACTTTTGAGCTGGAGTTGATGCACCCCTATTCTATACATGCAACGCATTTTCTTGTGATCAATAGATCGCAGATGAATTGGTATAGCACTAGTTCAGAACGGTCAGCATTTTTCAGGGACGGCGCGAAGTAATAACCCAGGTCGAACAGTCCGGCCTGGAAACGACCGGTTCTGGGTAGTTCCGTTGATTTTGTGGAAGCAGTATTCCGGTTGGAAAACTTTCCGGTGATTTCCTATCAATTCCTGCCGGAAAGCACCGGAACTTGGCAGGAATCCGTCGGAAAAGTTCGGCTGTATTTTTGACCGGAATACTGCTTCCATGTTCCAGCGATTTCCCGTTTTTTCCTGCAGGATATGCTGCCTTTCCCGCATATTTCCTGGAGTATCCTACGGGATCCGGTGACCGGAATGTTCGACCTGGGAACTTAACCATAGCATTGAGTGACTGGCAATATATTCGACGACTTAGTACAAGAAGAGGTTCCAATGAACAAATGTGGGTGGTTTCTACACTGGTTGTCTTCAAACTATGCAATATACCAAGATTTTGCTCATTCCGGATAAAAGTAATGCTATGAGTATGAATGTTTTAATAATGAACATAGTTGCTTTTGTTCCACAAAAATAAACAGGATCAATAGACGATGAACAAGCAGAGAAATTGTTACCTCAAGTTACTGCAGTTTTCAAGGTGGGTGAGCAACGAAGCTATTTTCGTATAATCAATCATTTCTAAGAGAGAACTTTTTCTAAAAGCATGTATCAGTGTAAGTACTTTTAATATTGATTTCTTTTCGAGCAAAAGGAATGATAGTATATTGTGCGTAATAACTTGGTAAATTCCAGCTTCGCCGAATTTTATTTTCGCCGACGATTATTTTCGCCGACTCCAACTTCGCCGAATTTAATTTTCGCCGACGCCTATTTTCGCCGACTCCAACTTCG